TGCATTGAGCAGAAAATGTATGATTAAATGAAGGAAATAGTGTAACGAGCGTCACAATGAACTGGTGGTGACAGATACTTCACCTTGAAGACTTCAAATTATCTCATGGCTGTGAAACGGGATGTTAATATGTTAGGGTATGAGCTGCACTCATGGAACTCAGAGGTGGTTTGCTTTTTTTAGGGGGCACTCCAACAATTTACTGGTGATTGTTTGACTTGTCCCAGCTTGTAAAAACAGGTCTTCTGTGGTTGTTGGTGAGCTATCTTAAATGTGATGTTAAAGGGTTAAATGTTTTTGTGATTTTGCCTGAGACTCTAGGCATGTGTCACAAAATAAATGTGTGGAGATGTGTTTTTTTTTTTTCCATGTAGGAAATTCAAGATTTCTTGGGACTTAGTCTTGCTGTCCCAGCCTCTGAAGATTTTAACTGAGAGTGTGTAAGGTAGAGTGTAGCAAACTTTACAAAGAAATCAAAAACTAGACACACAAGTCAAATTTTTCTTTTAGAAAAATGTATGAAAGAGTATCAAAGCTTAACCTTCTAGGGTTATGTTGGAGTGGAAGTCTGATCTTAACCCTTTTTAATCATGTTTTTCATATAATACAGTTCTATTTTAAAACATTATTGTTTTTGAATTATATCTAGCTCTACACAGCTATACAGAAGCTATGCTGTTTTCATACATTATTGTCTCCTACACAGGTTATGTATTCTGTGAGGAGTTTTTCGCTGATGATGAAACAGACTGAAATGAATACTAATGCCTCTACACCTGCACCTACAAATCATGACGTTATATTATCAGTGTCCTTTTGTCAAGTTGTTGTTAGTTCTCCCATATTTCTAATATCAATAGTTTTTTTTTTCATTAACCACAAATCTTCCTAATCCAAAAGAGCTCAGTCTATTTGCTGGCTTTCATTTATAACCCAAACTAATCCACTACTTCTGAATCAGAGCTGAGTGGAAAGTTGATTGACCACAGCCATTAGTCAGCATGTGTCATCTCTTCAGGCTGAAAGACACATTTCCTCCAGGCCTTCTTCACTCAGTTTGATTGTGATTACTCTTTGTCGTAATGTGTCACCAGCTCTAACCACAGGCTGTTGACCATCAAGCCATTACTGACCGATTGGCCTCCCCATGGTTTCCAAATAAATGAAACATGGAGACCCAAACTCAAGCCAGACTCGGCTTATATTCCTGCACTGAAATCCCTATAGTGGTGCTCCCAGTGATTTCTGCTTGTCTGAGTTTGAATAAAGATTTTCAAAGCATTCATAGTGTAGTAATGAGAAATATGCAGCCAGACGTTTTGTGTAGCGATCTTGGCTTTGACGAGCTTTCATGGTGAAGGGCTGAGGATCTTGTTGACAGGCCAGTATGGCAAATGAGATCTGCAGGGAGACAGAAAAAGAGCCCAGGCCCATTTGTATTTTCAACGAACAACTTGCTAAAGTACAGGGATGGTGGTGGAGATGACAAGCCAGGCTGTGATCAAGGTCAGAGCTAAAATGTCTGCGAAAATGCAGAATTATTTAGACATGACTTGAGAATTTAGGTTCTTATTCATGTGAAAAAAGGGGTAAAGCTTTAGAAAAGGAGAGATTCTGGAGTGGGTGCCTATGCTTCAGGTTAGAAAAACTGAATGAAAGTAGATGTTGGGGGAAAAAAAGGGATGATGCTCAACACTTCATTGGTATTCTGACGCTAAAATTTAATTGCACATGTCAAGAGAGGACACGGACATAGTCACATAAACACAGAAACCACACACCCACATTGAGTAATCACCCCAAGGGTGTTAGCATCTAATTATTTTTCAGGAAAAAGCATGCATTCTTAATTGAATAGCCCTGCAGACACTCAACATGACATCAGCACAAGCCCCAAACTACACTTAAGGATGAATACTGTGTAAATCCTACTTTCTCTATACAGCTCATATGCATATTCAATGGAAGGATACATGAACAAATGTTGCACCTATTTGTTTGTTGAAGTCACTCATTACACATGTGTTCTTCCAGGAGTAGTTTTAAGTTGTTTACAGCTTTATTACAGTTATTCTTGTTACTGTTGTAAGTTTATACTAGTGCACGACCGACGTGAGATTTTTTTAGGCTGATACCAATATTGATATTGAGGAGAAAAAATCAGATACCGATATATCGGCCAATATCTTTCTTAAATCTATGAAATCTGTAGAGATAGATAAAAATGTACGCATTTATTGCGTTGATCCCTCAAATTAAGTTATGAAACACTTGTGGAAAATATATATAAGGAAGACAAGCAGGTCACTCAACTGCAAAGTAACTGAGCACCTATTGACACTCTGGAGGGTGATAATGTTTGTTGTAATCTATCTCGGAAAGTCTATATAGCGCACTATTTGCTATTTGACTGGTGAATAAGATAAAAAAATATCGGCACCTTTATTTGCGCTAAAATAGCCGGCTTGCGGATTAATCAGAATCAAAATATAGCCTATTTCTGCAGTACAGATTGTGGTAGATTTGTTTTACGGAAAGCTGAGTGGTGATTTCAGTTTTTTCATTAATCTGAATACTATCACACTTCAGATTTCAGGCAGTCAGTTGAGGACTTACTACTTCTGGAAATAGTTTAAAATGCACTTACCAACAGCACAAGGCACTTTCTTTAGCCCCCTCTTTCTACCACAGGTGACATCACTCACATTTGAGATGCTGGAACATAAATAAAACTTGTCATAAAGGACTTGAGCAATTATTCAAATATCCTTTTAGTTGATTGTTTTTGTCAACTTGCTAATTAATTCATGGTCTTATTGTTGTAACTATACAAGTGTGAATTCTCTTTCAGAAAATAAATAACCACAAGCCTCTGTGGCACCCTTTAAAAACATTGATCGCTCTCATTTTCCAGCACTTCTCGCCATGCGGTGCATCCTGTGGCTGAAGCTTTTTTCTCATTGTTTCACTGAATGTGATTTTCTGTAGATGAAATCAGAAAAAACAGGGAAAAGCACAAACTCTCTGTGTCGTTATCAAACTCAAGCTTAGCTTGTTTATAGAGGCTTTAATTTTTCAGCCCAAAGCACATATTTGATCAGGTTTAAGTGGGTAAAAAGTTATAGCAATGTCTCCACATTATGATGTATTATTTTTTCTTTGTAATTGGGTGTTTGTTGACACTCTTGGGAGATAGAGGCGGATAGGAGACATCATTATGAAGTAAATCTGTCTCTGTAGACCAGCTGGCTACAGTGACTTGCTTATCAGTGTGTTCATGCAGTTCTCGAGAAATCAGACAGTGTGAAATTGCACGAGGGTGAATGTTGTGGCTCAGCTTAGAGTGTGTGTTTATCCAGGCCACCATAGCAGGTGTGCTGGACTAGAACCACTGACTGAGTTTTCCTTGCCATTTGATTAAATATGATATAAAAAATAAACCCCTGACACTGGACTTAAGCTATATCTTGCTCCAAGATGCCTGACCCTTCATTTAATCACATGTTTTTCTAGACACTTTAGGAATGGTGTATATGCAGTTAACACTACATTAGATTACCCCTGTGTCCCAGATGTCATTTACAGCCTTCATCTGTTGTGTTTTTTCTCTCTGATTGGGAAAGCTACATTGAAATCAAATAAATATTAGCTCTCATCTGGCCTTGATTTATTTGTCCCCCTCATGCTCTTCTTATTTTCATTTTTGCAAAGATTTTTTTTTTAATAGCACTAGATTAGCAAATATCAATGAGTCTAAAAGAGAGTACAGCACACCCAACATGAACTACTTGACATTAACTAAACAGATCAGCAAGTGTCTTAGCCATCTGTTCCTTCAGTATTATGTAATCCTACACACACACATGTATGCACCAGCATCCACAGAGCTGCTTCCATACGCACAGGATGCAAATGAGTCGCTGATGGGAAAGCCTACACTGACACAGCGTCATATAGCATATATGAGGCGTTAGTGTGATGAGACTACTGTAAATGTTGGAGGAAGTCAGAACAATGTCCTGTAGTTATGTCTCTAATCGCTCTGTAGTTTCATCAACATATAGAGACCTTGCACTGGGAACAGGAAATGTGGTCCGAGGGTCTGCAGAGAGTCTGATCAGGAAGCTCCAAGGCTCCATACCATGAGTCCCTGTAGCCAGTCCTAATTGGTTTACACATTCCTCCAAGGATTACCACTCACTTTGTATTTGTGTTTCGAAAGAATTATTACAACATTTGCTTTGGCTCCCTGAATTACACCCAGACAAGTGTCAAAACACACACAGTTTCTTGCCTTGTGTGTGTGTTTTCCCCCACATTGGGTGACATAAACAAGTGAAATTAAAGTCTCTATATTATTGATGTAGCTCCCAGTCTCAGGCACGCTTGCATGCTGCTGCTTCTCTTTTTCTTGCACTAATTTTTTCTCTCTTTCTCCTCTTTTTGAAAAAAAATTAAATATTTCATGACCTCCTTGGCCCCATCAGCATCTTAAGAAAGTCGTTTTAAAAAAAAAAAAAAACATAATTTAGAAATACTTTACCTGCTTATTTTGTATTTTCTAAATAAATGATTTGCCTGCAGAAAAAAAAAAAAACCTGCTCCTTTGTGTTTTCAAATTGCAGGAGAGTAATTTTAGGAAACAGGCTGCAATTAGAAAAGAGGACATTGCTTTGTGCCAAATGAAAACGCTTTTCATTATGAGCCAAATGAAACAGCTTGAAGCTTTTGCTGGTGACACTCTCCCATTATTAAAACTAAAAAAAAAAAAGCACATCGCGTGTAGAGGGACAGAAATTTAATCTTCAATTACTCTGGTAGATTTCCTTAATCGGTTTTCCTCGCGAGTATGCGTGATGAGCTTCAAGACTCACCCATATCTATGGTCAATGAATGAGTCTGGGCTTCTTTCTTTTTTTTTTTTTTATTCGCCGGGTGTGCCACCTGCTGGTGCGTCACGGTTGCTCTGTCCAATCCTGACGCAGTGATTTTTCGTGCGCCCTTGGAGATCCCGCGGTGCTATCCTCACATCGCTTCCCAACCTACGGCTCCGTGACAGGAGAAGGTGGCGATCCTCGTTAGCTGAGTACAGTTTAAGCGCTTCAAATGAGACTGGATTGAAACTGCTGCTGTGCCAAAATTGACCGGTGACAAGTTTGACTGGATTGCCGTTTTCCCATCTACTTGTAGTGCTCTGGACTCACGCACTATTGAATGTTATGAGGTAGGTGAAAATTACTCCAAAAAAAATGTAAGTTGTGGAAATATTCAGTCGCAGCAAAGTGTTTTGCATGCTTCTCAGCTGCTTTTTTTTTTTGTTGGAGGATGTTTGCCGCCCCGCAACGCTGCACTTTAAAGTTGCGCACACGAGAGATTATTATTGATCGCACGTGCTGGTTTTTCAAAGCAGACATTCTCTATGTGGGGTTTTTATTCCATTTTATTATTATTATTATTATTATTTTTGTTTAATTTGAAGTTAAACAAGTGCTGCTCCCTTGGTCCGGCTCAGCATCCCTGCTGCCCAGCCCTCTGCGCTCTGATGCCTCTCATCCAAGAAGGCGTACGTGGCTTCACAAACAAATCTGCTTCTGTAAAGTTCGATTATGAAACTGCAAGATATTAGTTTTGCATGTCTTGATTCCCCCGCAATGACATTTTTTAAAACGAAAAAAGCATTACCACAAAAAAAAAAGTACTTGATGCGTTTTCTTCCTCTTGTGCTATGCCCATTATTATTTTTGCGATCAGATATCTGTTTGACACAAGACGAAATTAATCGTGTCCTTACATGGCGAGTGGAACGTTTCATGAATTGGGCTGTTTATTTATGGAGCCCATAGATGGCAAAGTGAAGGAATGTTCCCTCTCAGTGACCTGGGGGTACTTTGACATTGTGCTGGATAATGAGTAAGAGCAGAGGGAATGGCATCTGTGCCATGGTGCAAATATTTTCCTTTAAGTCCACGGCTGCAGTTATTCATCCCAGAAGCCAGAGTGTGAGTTTGACAATACAGCAGCTGCATGTGAATCACAAATTATTCCACCATGCAGGACCCGCAAAGCTCTAAAGTTTAACATATTAATATGTTGCATATGTAAACAGGACCAGCATGTTTTTTATATCAATACATCAACACAGCCATTGTTAGGGAACAGTGTAGACCCGCCGTGTGTCGTTGTGAATGCACAGTCTGTTACGAGACTGTTGAAGGAATGTGTTTAGATGGTTGTTACTTTCCATTGCCTGCTACGGGGAGAGACGCAGTGGAGGACATTCAGAAAAAGACACACATGAAGGGGAGGATGAGACAGAAAGGTGAACCAGAGCTTTCATGGCTTGATGTATTGTTTGAACTCGGGTCAATATCTCTTGGCTAATATTTATTTATGTCTTTCTTCTCTTGATAAATGGTTTTGTTGTGCACATTGCTACTGCCGTATTGATCACCATTATGACTTTCCCAAATGGACTGTGGGTGGAGGGTAGTGCATTGATACTACTGGCTCAGGTGACAGAGGTGTAGATGGCTCCAAGTAGGATGAAAATGTCTTTGCTCTTACCCTCTGCTGTATACCTGAGGTTGTGCGTGGGTGCTGGCATGTGTACTGAGGCTTCTGATACAGAGGCTTCTGCTTCATTAGTCCCAGGCTCGTGACTATCTACAAATGCCTCTGAAAAAACAAGCGTGCACGACATCATATTAGGGGTCTTTGTCTGCTTATTTTTACTGCAATATGAAGTCAGCCTGTTTCTTTAGAATTAATTCCTAATTCTTTCAGAAATACTGGGACATTTTCAGGAAATAAGCTCATTACTTTTTGCTGAGTGTTAGATGGCAGGATCAATAATGCTGTCATGTCTGTGTGGTAAATACAAAGCTACAGACAGCAGCTGATGGGAAAAGCTTTAAATAAAGACTGCAACCTGTTCCAACAGCTGAAACTCTTTATTTCAATTCATCATTCATGTATTTTTCTCCAAACTATTGTTAATTTTGTTGCATTTTTATCCAAAGCCTTCCTTTTTGAAACATTATGCCATTGTCAGAATTTGCCTGAAACATCTGTCACACTATCTTTATTTGTTATTATAAAATGTGTTTTTTTTCCCCCTTTCTTGCTAAGAATAAGATGAGAGCACATCATGTCTGCGTGGTTAATATGGAGAAAAAGCTGCAGGCAATTAGCTTAGCATCAAACGTTGAAACAGATACTCTGCTCTGGTCTGAAGGTTAAAATAAACCGGACCAGCTACACCTCTAAATGTAGTGACGTTTGTTGAATCCATGCAAAAACAAAAAAAAGCCTAGTGTAGGTTCTGCAATGTAAACCTCACAGTGTTGACATGACTCCAGGAAGTCACTGCTTCCAGCCAAGAGTCCCTGTAAAAACCTGTATAAATCCAAAACTTAGGTTTTATAGAAATAAACAAAGATAAAGAAAAAGAACCGATGTCCGGAACACTTACACTGTAATATGTTTTTACCATCACAAAAAAATAAACTGGTTCACAGAAGGAGAATTCTAAGTGATGACATGTCATCGCAAAGTTGCTGCATCCCGCCAAGTGTCTCTGTTAAACCGAACAGAAACCTGCAACTTTAGGTTTATTTCAGAAAAATATGGCTATAAAGCAAAAAGTGATCTTTGAACTGGTTCTCAAACATTTTTCTTTTTTTTAAACTTTTTGGGCAGAACCAGGCTAGCTTCTAAGTTTTTCCCCATCTGGATGCTAAGCTAAGCTAATTGGCAGTGGCTTTGGATAACACTTTGCGAACATGTCATGCATCTTGATGACAAAAACTGAATAGTAATCATATCAGCATCAAACATTCTTCATTTTCAGAGTGTGACATATTGTCTGCGTCACAGGCTGACACAAACACTGTTGCGTGTGGGATTGGTTCATAAATGCAGAAGTCGATAAAACTGCCACTAAAGCACACACTATCACTGAATTAACATGTATGTATGATGGAGTAGACGAGAGGGTTTCAGCTGTTGTATGATTCAGGCAAAAGCATCAAACAGTATAAGCCCCTACACTGACTGGCACCACCAGGCTACTTTTAGAGCCGGCAGCAGGAGACAGTGATAGGTTTTTTTTACGGGAGTCAGCTGGCCAAACAGACAGGCTAACTCCCCCACTGGGTTTCATTAGAGCTCGTCTTGATGTTAAGGCCGGTTTAATCCACTTTCACAACCACGCAGACCACAACAGAGGGAATCACAGCATCTATCTTTAGGGAAGGCGTCAGGCAGAAAGTTTTCCATCCCTGTTTAATTAAGAAAACAATAACACAAAACCTCTGTAGTTATCCCTTTAAAAGTCACAGTTGAAAGTTTCGCTGTGAAAACTTTGTGTGTGTACTGATGGGAAAAAGTTCTTTCAGCATCAGATTAAAAGCAGTCAATCAGTGTCTTCTCAATTAGCTGGTCCATAAAATGTTGTGTTTTTTTTTTTCCCGAACTGCGCTCCTTCTCCTATCTTCTGTCTCTCCGGTAAGTGTACTGTTGTTGTGCATATTTCATAGCACCTGCTTAGCTTCACAGTGACAGTGCTGGGAAGACACTGTTGCACTTCATTAGCATTAGCAGCGAAGGACATTTGAAGTAGGAATATATCATGTGTGACCATTTGTTAAAGCACAAGAAGAGCTCTAGTTATAATAAGGGCTGCTCAAAAGATTGTTTTTCCATCAACATCACAGTATAAGCATTCGCTAGACGCACACAGCAGAAGTCTGAATTCATCACAGTTATCAGAAAAAAAAAATGTTTTATGTAAACAAGCAATGCTTTCTCCCCAAGCATGCAGACATTTTAAAATATTGGATGGAGATCTGGGTATAATGGCCTTTCTTTGGCGCCATTTTGATGCAGTCAGATGAAGCTCAAGCTAGACTCGGCTACATCAGCTACACTCAGTTTAATCTGTGCCAATGTAGTGGTGAATTTAGTTCTGACACATTCACGATGCAACATGTTGAAAACATAGGTGATGTGTTGCACATGAATAACATCAGATAGACCTAAAAACTGAGTTAGCTTATATGTACTCTTTTACGTTTATGTATTGCTCTTCATATCTTATGGCAGTATTTGTCATTTTAATTGGAAACTCGTAATTCTCTCAGGCAGGGCTATTGATAATTAGGTTTTTTGCCTAATGCAAATGAGCATGTTATTGACTTTTGATTTCCTTTTTGTATTCACAGAGTTTTATTACTTGCAATAAAATTGCCCTGCGGATGCAATCCAACTGTTTATGGCGAAGATAACGTGTGCTAAACCGACACAAGCTGACCTTTACTAGTGGTCATAGGCTGAGCTAACGCTGCCACTTATTGGAAGCAATAAGGCGCTCACCTCAGGGCTGTTCAACCACACTGTTCCCTGTTTACCTTAGGATATTGGGTATGTGCAGCACACACTCAAATCAAGATAATGGGAGTGAGTAAAAGTTAAAAGGTCAGACATTGGGCGGGCGGATTTATGGAGGCGGGGCTAAGGTCAGTGATGTTATAGACATAGGTTCATGCAGGTCTTTAATGTATATTAACTCTCTCGTGGGTGTGTCAGCTGTAAGTGTTGCAGTAAAATCAGGCCGCCATTACACTATTTCCAAACAGTTTGCAAATGTCTAGCACACCCCGCTACACTCCACTGCTTTAGTGATCTTTATTCTGAGTTATTTTCTCTTTTTGCCTATTGTCACATTTGCTGACATACTTTCTCATTGACTCACTGTCTTTGTCTCTTTGTCAAACTCTTTTTACAAACTAAAACCTCACGATGGAGAATTCAGGTCCATGTCTAATATATGGCTGCTCTCTCGTGTCTGTTCTAAGTGAATTAATCGATACCGACTCGCTCTCCATCACTTTCACCGTAAATCCAGAGGGATGGATTCAAGATAAAAAGAGAGCTGTTCAGTACACATAGCAAAAGAGTAGAAAAAAAGAGAGAGGGCACATGATGACAGCGAAACATACAGAGCTGGGGAAATGTGTAAAGAGTGAGTTGGACAAACCGAAGCAGGTGTTTCTGAGTGTAATAATAATAATCAGGTGTAATAAGTGCAGAACAGGGAGAAATTCTGATGATGATGGATGTTTGACGTAGCTTGGACCAGCTTCAGACCCTCAGTCTGCAGCCGTATATTTCCCAGTTGTGATGAATGTTTCCGTCATATGGCTTGTTTATTATTCTGGTTTAATA